AATAATAACATAACGGCTGAAATAAAGAGTAAGAAAGAAATAGACCACCAGCAACATTTAAATAGCCAGAGGGAAATTTCTGTCCTGGAACAAGTGAAAAATATTTGAGCCCAGAGCAAATTCAGATTGGGTCAAGAGGCAGGTCAACTGACATACTACGTCATAGTTCAATCCACCATAATCAGGTTTACAATCAGCTCTGAGAGTCGAGCTGGTTGAGTCCCGGCCTGTGGCAGAGGGCATCTGCCAGAGACGGGATCTGACTGGACACTCAGTAGATGGGTTTGGGGCTCCCGCCGTCCTCCACCGCCTTTTGCAAATTGGTGTTCACAGTTTAAGCTCTGACACTTTCCCTTCCTCACCTCTGGATTTTGTTATCATCATCTTTGGATCACACGGGCTGGTGTGCTTCTCCCACCTGGACTTTATTGATGCCTCACTTAGTTGGCTGCTTGTTTGAATACAAGCCTTTAAGATCCCAGACACTCTTCCAATTGATAGCTGGGCACCATCTGCTTTCTTCACCACACTTTGCTGTAGCACGCTTACTTTCAGTGATCTCTTTGTGAAGGTGAGCATCGAGCAGGGCCATGTTATCAGAACTAACTGTTCTTGGATTGGGGCTAGAGTTAAGTGGGAGCCAGAATCCATCTGCTTGTCCACGGGTTACAAATGACTCTGATTTACTTTAGCAGTCAGTCATATTCTGACAAAACAAACAACAACAGTAAAAAGCAAACAAACAAAAAAGGGAAAAAATTGTCAATCAGCCGCCTGGGGTATAGGGCCTCAGGTATAGCATCAATAATTTATCCAGTGACATCGGATTTAAGGTACTGTTGAGACGAGGAGTTTATGGGAGTGTTGTCCAACTTTGAGTTGTTGCTTTGTACAGATTGATGTGTTAATTGATTGAGATCTGTTTACATCAAGCACGGAGTTGGGTGCTGTGGGGAACTTTCCTGTAACATTCCTTACAAGGGCAGACCCTTGCTTATTAGATCAATACCTGTCATATTAGGTCAGGGGGAGCTTTGAGGTTCTAAATATACGGTGTTCCTGGGTTCCCTTTCACCGGATGCTCACTACGCCAGGGGTCCCAGCCAATGTCCAACGACCACCATTTCCATACTCTTGGGGTGGCCACCCTTTGCTGCCTCTCCCATCAGGGAATTTCAGTCCTAAGTCCAAGGGTACAGGGAGCTTTGAAGTAGGGCCCAGGTGGTTCAGTGGAGCTGCCACGTTGAGTCTTTGTGGTGGTCCTTGGGGGATGCCAGGCCATCTGTAAGGCCAGCTTCTGAGGGCGTCATAGTCCGTGGTGCAGTCACCGAGGGTTGGGTAGAAACATATTCAAAGTGTCTACCCAAGACCATGGGACCAAGTTTATTCTCCCCTTAGGTTCCCTACAGTTACTGTTTAGCATCCCTTCCTGATGTGACGTTGCTTTTACCCACATGCCCACCAGCAGGAACATCAGTGCCTCTTCTGAAGTGCAGTCCCCGCTGGACTTGCTTCCCCAGTGCGGTTCTCCGCTCAGTCCTCTGGAGGGCCGTTCATTCGTCGCAGCCTTGTCTCGGTGCTGTGTGGCATCAAGTCAATGGTGTCCTGTTCCTCTCCCCTTCTGACTGGAGTGAACCCCGCAAATGCGAGGTCTCTTCTTTCCAAGTGCTTCTTAGGAAGCACGCGGCTGGTAGGCAGGCATTCTACCCTTTTGTTGGGATTGGTCTCTAAGATTCGTTTAATCGGTCTTTCTCCTTGTGGTTGTGCACTCATACAATACTTGTCCTTTGTGATTGGCTAACTTCACTCGCGTAATGGTTTCCAGAACCCTTCGTGCCATGCTCTCATCGTGTTCTGTAGGGATGCACAGTTTTCCACTCTGAGCATGTACCAGAGTTTCTTGATTGGTTCTTCCACCGTGGGGCCGTTGGGCTGCTTCCAGTTTCTTGCTATTGTGAATTGTGCTGCTATGAGGATGGGAGAGCACACCTCCACCAGTGTTGTGTCTCTTATTTTTGGAGGGATGTGTCTAGTAGTGGACTTGCTGGGTCATGTAGGACCTCTAGCCCCAGTCGCTTTGAGTGTCACCATATCATTTTCCATTGTGGGTGTGTGTGTGTTTGCACGTCCACCAACAGTGTGGACGAGTTTCTTTCTCTCCATGGCCTGTCCAGAATTTGTTGTTTTCTGTGTGTGTGTGTTTTAAATTAGGTTAGCATTGTGGGTGTAAGGTGGCATCTCATCGTGGTTTTAATTTGCATCTTCCAGATCCAAGTTATGATGTTTTCAGCCGCCTCACACACATGTGAATGTTGGACATTGACTATCGAGGACCGAAGGAGTGTCAGTGCGTTGAGCTGTGGGCTGGAGAGGGAACGGAAAGTGGCGCGGACTGCTAAAAGACAAGTCAATCCGTCTCAGAAGAAAGCTGGCCAGAGTGCTCCTTGCAGGCAAGGGTGGCAAGACTTCGTCTCACGTAATTTGGACTTGGTATCAGGAGAGACCAGTCCCTGGAGAAGGACAGCGGCTCGGTAAAGTGGAGGGACAGTGAAAAAGAGGAATCCTCCCGGAGACGGACTGACACAGTGGCTGCAGCCGTGGGCTCAGCAATGGGGCGATGCAGGACCGACCGGGCAGTGTTTCCTTCTGTTGGTGCTCCAGGAACTGATTTGGCGGCACCTGCCCACAAGCAGGGTTTGTTGTTAGGGACCTGGAGGCAGTTCCAGTCCATAGCAACCCAAAGCACACAGAGCCAAGTACTGCAGGCTGGTCCTGCGCCAGGCTCACAGCTGTCCAGTTCACTGTGCTAATCCACTGAACAAGGGCCTTCCTCTTTTCTGGTATTGGTTGGTCTGGGTGGACTAGAGAAACAAAGCAGTAAAACTGCCAGGAGGCAGAGGTCAAACAAGCACCCATTCTCCATCTCCACGACTTGTTTCTCGGTACCCCACTCCTAAGGTACCACAATGTGCTTGTCCGAGTGGACTAGAGAAACAAATTCACAGACACTCATATGTGTATAAGAGAGAACTTTATATTGAGAAGCAAGTATGCATCAATAAGACATCCCAGCCCAGTCCAGATCAAGTCCATGAGTTCAGTATTAGCCCCAAAGTCTGATATTCACCCATGAAGTCCCCTTGAGACTCATGCAACACATGCAATCACCCCAAATGCAGGAAGCTCACAGGCCAGTGGGTGGAAAGTCTTGTGGATCCAGTGGCAGTGGAAGCATCTCCAGAGCTCTGGCTGGCATCAGCGTGGCTCCATGCGGCTTGTCAACAGGAAGGTGAAGGAGAGGGTGTGTCCCGCCTCCAGGGAGGAAGACCTGAGTTCCCAGAATCCTCAGGAGAAGGCCATGCTCACAGAGGCCTCATTGGCTATGGCCTGATTGACAGGCTCGACTCCACCCCTTCCCTCAAGTGGACAGAGGATGTAACTGTCACAGCATTCCTCTACCCAGCATGGCGTCCTTCTCCAGGGACTGGTCTCTCCTGACATGTCTGACGCACATCAGACGGAGCCTGGCCATCCCCGCCTCTGAGGAGCACTTGCTCCTCCAGGACAGACCTGTTTGTTCTCTGGGCATCTGTGCTGCGCTCAGTAATCTCCAGCTCCTTCGTTCAGATGCCACGATTCTCCAGCCTCTTATTCATTCTCACTCAGCGTTCACATGCATATGAAGTGATTGAAAATCCCATAGCTTAAAAAAAAACAATAATAAAATAATATAAATTTTAAAAAAGAAAAGAAAAGAAATCCCTGGCCTTAGTTCTCTAAGTAACATCCTTGCATTCCCACTCCCCTAGCTGTTCATGAGAGTAGAAAGTCTCATCTTCTCCCTGAGGGGCGGCTGGTGGATTTGAACTACAGCGAACCCAGTTAGCAGGCAGAAGTGCAGCCACTGAGCCGCAGGGCTCCCCTCCTCTCCCTCATTGCACCTAGCTCACCCGGAGGAACGCACCTTTCCTAGAATCAACGAGGTCTGTCTCCCTGCGTGCGTTTAGAAGGTGCCCTGATGATGGTGCAACCATTCAGCATCTGGCTGCTTACCGGGCCACCAGCTGCTGGGAGGGAGACAGATAGGCCATCTGCTTCTTAGAGATGGCAGCCTTGGACACCCCCAGGGGCGGCTTTGCTCTGTTCTACAGGGTCGCTGTGAGGGAATCCTCTGGACCAGGACATGGCACGTGTTTAAAGAATATAAACTGCTCAGAACAAACCGAGTTTCTATGAGTTTGAATCGGATCCCGGGCCCTCGGCCAGTTCCCCACAGCCCTCCCCCAGCTAGGGAAGGCAGCTGTTGCTCCAGCTATTATTACCCCGTGACTCAGGCCCTGGGCATCCTGGGCTCCGCTGACTGACAGATGTACCGAGAGGTCGCCTAACTTGTCTGGGGTCACAGCACGTGAGGTGGGCCAGGCTGAGCAGGACTGTCCTAGGAACGAGGGGATAGGGCAGTCGCGGGGGTAGCACAGTGCGGAGGCGTCTCAGGCTTGAGCTCTGGTGTGGCCTGTCCGACCGATGAGGGTGGATGAGCGTGGGTGTCCACGCAGGGTCCGGTATGTGCCTGGGAGTGGCCGGTTGTCGCTGGTGACGCTGCATCGTGACGCTGGGTGGGTGTCCGGCTGCCCTTAAGCGTGCGCGGGCGAGTCCAGCTGCTGGACTGGTGAGGCTGGGAAGGCGCAGAGCCTGGGAGCCCGGCGGGGGCGGACGGGAGCGGGGCCAGGGCGGGGCGGGC